TGATAGGGAGTTACATAAATGCCAGGTGCTCTTACATGTAAAAAAATCAAAGGTCATCTAAAGAAACATATTCTGCTGCTGAAGGATGGATAATCCTGAGGCTGGAATCTGCTTGCTAATTTTTTACTAGGACATGAAAGTGCTACCACTTGAAAGCACAGAGGACCTGTACCCACCTATGATTAGCATCAGGCATGTGTCCCATCAAAATCTGGTGTGTCAGTTTGTGGCAAACTTATCATGGTCAATGTCAACACACCCTTATTTTACCATCAACAGACCTGCAAACTTCCCTGTTAAGGTGAAGAGCAGGTATTTTACACTTGCACTTGCCCGACTGAGCAAAACTGTCAGGTAATGCATCCACCAGGTACAACTTTCTCTTCCTTTCTGTAGTCTGATTACACATTTTTATATTGAAGAGATTGAACACCTTTGGTATCAACAGCCATTGTTCAGTTGTACATGTCTCCTCCATAACTCAATATGCTGCTCCATATTTATCTATATTCCCTACTGAATGGGAACATGAGAAGACTGCTGCTATAGGAAGCTGCATAAAGAGGTTTTTTTCAGTCTTCTCTTTATCAGCTGCTGTGCCCTTTTTCCTATGGATCTGCATTCATATTTATGTTTCTCTCTATTTACTGCCTACTCAAAATGCTTAAGAAGTGACACCAGTGAAGACAGACTAAAATAACCTATGCTAATTTAAAATAATATCCACCAGTTCTACACGGTCACACATTGTGCTTCTTCCAAAGGCAGCTATGCAATTATAGGTACTTGGGTGCATAAAGTGATACGGAGGTTTCTATGGCAATTATTCAATTTAATTGAAAATTGTGTTGGGAAAGACTCATTTCAAGTGCAGCATGCAATTTGCATTTGTTTCCAAAGAATCTGAACTTGCTAAGGCTGAGTTAGGTGAATTCCTAATTTTCAGGAAGGCACAGTCTTTAAAATTCTATCAGGGGGGTGAAAAAACAAGGTAGGGTTGTTAAGCTTGTTAACATTTAAGACCATGTATGCACTTATGCAACACAGTGGTTTTTACTGTCAGGTAAATATTTTATGTTTCAAATTAAAGAGGAAGAGTTAAAAATCAAATTGATGCACAATGTCCTTGAAGCTACAAGGTAGAGGAACCAGAAAAAACACAAGTACCAAAAATGACAACAGGCTGACAGCATGCTGAAGGAGACAAGTCATCAGTGAGATCAAGTCCACAAGATCAAACATCTATATTTTCATATATTTTAGCTACTCTGTGTTAGAATAATAATGAAGGTGAAGTTAATTCCAGCCTTAATATGTTTTAGAGTGACAAAGAATGAACTGGAGGGAGGTAACTGTTTTTTCTTGGTTAGATACTAAAACAAAGCTATTACTTAATTTCCTGTAGGAAAATGGGTTTCTTTTCTCTCCCAATTTCCATCACCACAATGAGTCAAACATATTTTAGGCCTGAATTTATAAAAAACCCAACTAATCTACTTAAAGTGATGGAGACTTGGAAACAATATCTGAACTGTGGTTTCATATTCACTAAATTTATAGCATTGCCATTTCTGAAACAAAACTCTATTAAATTTCTATTTGTATGATTTTAAGACTGCATAGGCTATGTACCAAAAAATAGTCATTGTCTCCTTCATAAATATTAAATAAAAATTAAATTGATGTGAGGATAGGGGTAGAAGTGTTCTTTACCAGACACAAAATCCTCCTAAGTGGGAAAAACCTGTGCCTTAAAGCAGGTGTCCATGGCAGGATGTGACCAGAAGCAGAAGAGTAATTTTAACAATGTAGCTTTGGTATTTCTGTGTTTGTCTCATTGCATTTCTGTCTCAAACAGAAAAAGGAAGAATGACTCCTTACTTCAATGTCAATGATTGCATCACAGTTCAGAAGAAAGCATAATGACACGAATATGCTTTTCATAATATATATGTAATCAATTTTTAATGAACCGGACTCTAATAATTAACCTTTTGTGGAAAGGCATAGGAATAGAAAGCAAAAATTCCAGGTTACCAAGAGACTCTTTTCTTGGCCCATGGCAAGTCCTATATTGGTCAGAAAATGTCTTTGCAAGACAGGGGAATCCATTTGCTTGAATGAACATGAAAGGGGTCCCACCAAGCACAATCTAGCAGTGGAGGGCTTTTCACAACATGGACAATTTGCTTTATTTTTGCCATATGGTGGTGGTCCTAGGTTAATGGTTGGACTTGATGATCTTAAAGGTCTTTTTAACCTTAAGAATTCTATGATTCTATATGCTGACAGCTCTCACCTCCCTCATCTTTTGCTGTTCATCCCATCCTCTTTTGATATTAACATGTCTTCCTTCATTTTACTACTTGACCCTCTCATAAATATTAAAATACATTGCAATCAATAGAAAGGTTTCTTGATTTTTTTTTTTATGCTTCCAGACATGAAAGTAATATACTCTCATTCCTATGTGTCATTTGTATAAATAGAAAATAACTTAATGAAGTCAGAAGTAAGCACATTTCATTGAGTTCTGAACATGGCAACACCCACAGTTACTCATCTCTGATCGATATAAAGGCTACTGGTGGTGCTCCTTGTCTAAGCTTCTGTTTCCTACACAGAACATATTCAAGCTATACCTATTCAAGCTTTCATTAATTTTCAGGGTTGGAAAAACATATTATTAAACATCAGTGTTAATGGTGTTGAAGGGACAAGTAAGACCTGAAGGTAGGTTTTGGCTAACAACAAGGGACAGGTTTGAAAAGACTCTGGCTGGGGCACTGCTCTCAATAAATTAAATGCAATAAGTGGATCTAGTAGAGAGTTACTTTTTTAATACCCAAATTGTATGGCTGGCTGTGAGAAGTGGGAAATGAGGAGAGGAAAAAAAAAAGAGGAAGCCTTTACAGTTTCACTTGGCATCATTTCCTCAGAAAACCACCAAGATATAAGAGCCATAAATATCTCTCTCCATTTTGGTTCAATAATGCCAGCATCTAAAGAATGTAAAGGAAATCTCTTTTTTACTTATAAGAACACTTACAAATACACACAGAAATAAAAAATTGTCAGTGAAAGCTGTACTTCGTTTTCAGAAATGGAAGAACAGGAATTGGATGTACTGCTCACTCCCCTCAGTAGGTTCAAGACTAGAAATGTCACAGAGTGGAAACCTTCACCAGCAGGAGGAAGACTAAGTATCTCTGACTGAATGACCTGAAGTTTTTTTTGACCACAGGAAGACATTTTCCTAACAGATGCAGAGTAATCCTCCCATAAAATGAATCATCTACCATTTCTTGAAGTCTTGGGAAAAGCTGAAAGTTCAATAAAGAGTGTGGTCCTTAAAATTTACACACTTCAGCTCCTCACATTTCCTGTGGGGAATATAAATTGCTTCTAAGTACTTACTATTCTGCATGCCATTCAAATTCTGTTGCTTCAATTCATTATATTAAAAAGTAATACCAACTTCAATTATTCGTTGTAAAATTACAAATTTAGCTAAAGTACACAGAAAATTCAATTCACACCAAAATGGCCACAATGTTCAAATTAATGTATTTGCAGTCCTCCCACGTCCTTCTCAGCATCCTTTAAAACGTCACTTATTTTTTATAAAGATATAGATTTTCTGAGTATTGATGTGCTCTATCAGCAGACAAGTTCTCTCTGCTTTTAGTTCTGCGGACATTGCTCGCCCTTCCCAAATCACTAAAGATTGCAGCTAAAATAAAGGAGTCCATATGAGCAAAGGTTACAGCACTAGACTTACAGCTCAAAAGTTTGCACCTTACAAACCTCTCATCTTCAGTCCTGCATTCAAAAGGTACTTATGATTTCAAAGAAATTGCAAATCAAATGATTACACGCTACAGGAAATTAGATAAAAGAGAAAGGAACCACTTCAACACCATCAAGAGATTCTATTCAGCTATTATATTAATAGTAAAAAAACATATTTTGATTGCAGCTTCTGCAGGTATAAAATGACAGGGTTTAGATTATCTTTTATTGAAGTGCACAGATCCAAAAAGTGTTTTCAGTCCTGCAAGGTGTTTTAGTCTTGTAATCATTCAGCAAAGCATTTGGACAGCAGTTCTTTAAAATTAAGCAGAGTAATAAGTGCACTTGTTAAAATATGTTCTAGAGTATGTAGCACCTTTCAGAATAAATTCAAGCACCAGAATTAAGTATAAAAAAAAGGTTGAACTTCTGTACCATTGAAATCATCACGAAAGCTTCTACATTTTTAAAGCCAAGTGATGAATTTACTATCCCTGACTTGAGTTTTAATTTCTTTACAGAATCTCATGTAATCTTTATGTTAACATTCTATTATGTAAAATGTAATGCTTTTTCAGTTCAAATTAACGTCTTAGAAATAAAAACCACAGCAGAAATAATGACCATCGTTTTGTAAGGAATGGATGTTTTCCTGTCTTTTTTACACTCTAATTTAACTAAAATTAAAAAATCAGTGCACGGAAAAATTGGAAATATCAGGGCACAAAACCCAAGTGTTTTCATTAGCTGTTAAGAACACCTAACACAGCAACTGTGCATTGGACTAACATCCACACTGCAGTACACTTGAAGCTAACAGTGGGATTACATATATATATATAAATATATATAATATTGATATATATGCATACACACTGATAAAAACAAGTCACAAAGTTTATGGGCTACTACTTCTCTTGCCAACTCTTGCCACTCATAAATGCTTTTCCAAGATATTTTGCAACAATGTTTTCCAAATTATCTTACAATCAGTCTTTCAAATGCTATTCTTTTCCTTTGATAATTTAAATATAATTTTATATGCAAGAGAATGCTTCAGTGAATGCCCCTCCAAAAAACCTTAAATTATAAATGAAACAATGCATTCCTAGTAAATATTTTCACATTAGAATATTAAAGAGAAATGGTTTTAAATTTTTTTTCTTACAAAAAATGGGGCAGAAGCATGAGTTGAGGAAACAATTTACCTTTCTTGTCGTCGAAGTACAGCGTCTGTTGAGCTGGATTTGACCACTGGAGGGAGGTGTTATCATTTTGATCGACCCTGCAGGTCAAATTTGCTGTTCCCCCTTCAACAACCGTGACGTTCTGTGTAAGTGGAAACTGCCCTTGGCTGCCTGAGGAGAGAGGGGAGGAATGAAGAAGGGAAAAGAGTAAGAGGAAAAAAAGAAAATATTTAAGTTGCAAGAATTGAATTTATTGCAGTAGCTTCCCACAGATGACAGACCCTAAATTCAATGCGATCTATTCTGACCAAAGAACAGGAGCACAATAATCAAAAAAAAAAAAAATATTTACAATATATTTTCTGTATCTGAAAAACAGATAGACGAATTAAGAAATAGGGATTCTTCCTCCCTCCCTCCCGCCCCATGAAACATACTGTTTAGTTACAAAGAAATGCCCTGCAATTTTATCCCCTCAGACATACCCAGAGATGACTCAGTACAGACAATACAGTTAAATCATTGTTGAAAACATCACCGAAAGCATAGCATAAAAATGCACGCAGAGTTTTTGAAACAGAGGGACAGGGCAACCATGACTCCCTGCTTCTTTTGATACATTCTAAAGGCCTCTCAGGATGACGTTTCTCGTGTCAGGTTTGGAAAGTTGTTGGAGAGCAAATGTAGTGTGAATCTAATACTCGACGCATACTCTGTTGAGGGAATATAACCTGATCTCATATGAAAATGGAAGAGATGATGTAGTAGGTCTCTTTCACATCTGTGATTCTATCCCAGAGCATTATGAATCACATTAAGTGCTTGCTGAAAAGTCACTGGGAAGATTTCCAAATGCCTCCACATAATACAGGAGCAGTATCACTCAGGTTCTTAAATCACAAGCATTTCCACTGGCGTAGTTAGGCTAAAGTGTTTATGTATTGGGAGAGTAGCACAGCCCTTGTCAAACAGCCCAGCACAATCTGACAAACAGTACTGTAAGAAGGGAGCGTGGTAAAAACATGGAAGAAAAACATGGAAGTCATTTTTAACATGGGCAGGGAAAGAAAAAAAGCCTTCAGTAATCAGCAAGACACATCATGGATTCTAGGATAATTATCTAGGACATATATTAATTTACTTAGGGATACTATGCAAAAGAAAGACAATCCAATACTCTAAATCAAATATATGCTTCTTTCTTCCTCTCCTTTTATACAAGTTCTGTTAATAAAAGAAGCACTGAAGAGCAGGTAGCTCTGCTCACACAAGAAGCATAATGCCAAGACTGACACTCAAGTGGGATGTGTCAGAAACTGAGAAAACCTCTCCACAGTCCTACAGGAGCAAACAAGCTCATAGGCATGTCATAAGTACATCAAGGAAATAATATCTACAATATTCACTAATGATACCAATACAGAATCAGAAATCCAGCACAAAACCTTCACAGAAACATCCTATTTTAGTGGCTCTCATCAGAGTTATTCCCAACTAAGTCAAACTGAATCATGTCTTCTACATAAAAGGCATGATAATGGAAATATATTATCTAGTATATGGGTTTTCAGATGAGCAGAGTAAGGAAGTACAAATTAAAAGATTAACATTAATTAATGATAAAACCAAAGATTTAATTCTAGCCAGATTTTGGTTTCCTATGTAAAATAATTACGGTGGCCTTAGATGTGGAAAATAAGTACCTACATCAGTGTAATAAATATTTCCATCAAAATGCAAATCTGAATAACTGGTATATTTTTTGCATAAATATCAACTTCCTACAGATGTCTAAAGATCAACACTTACTGTGTACTGATATTTACTCTAAGAGGGTATTTACTATCTGCTGGATAACAAATATAGTAAATAAAAAATAAGGAATGCTGAAAACACCATGGCTAATTTAAATGCTGCAAACAAAAAAATGCCAAAATTCTCATGACATCCTCTGTATCTGACACTTCATTAATCAAACCCTGCTTCCTGAAAGCCACACGTTGAGAAATACTTGATGAGTGAAAAATCATAAACAAGGATGGAGAAAAAAAAAAAAAAAAAAAAAAGGGAAAACAGAAAAGATTTGTCATTTCCTTCTATTTCCCCTCTTTCAATTCCGATGTGTCAAGGAACCTCAAGATATTGCATAAATTGCTTATCGCTTAAATTAGAATTTTAAAGATCCAAAAAAACCGCACACAGCCTGTTATTACTTCCACTAAATTACAAGCAACTTACCAAAGAAATAACCTTCTAAAGTATGAGTTGTGGATAGGAGGCTCTGTGGGCTAAAATACTTTTTTGCATACAAAAAGCATTAAACAGAACCTACTGCCAGAGATTAGCACAGTGAAATCTGTCATTTACATTAAAGAACTGGAATGGAAGATAGTTTAATAAAAACCCCACTGTAATGATTTAGGACCTCATTAACACAATTTAGGAGATCTCCCCATAATTACCCTGATCTCCCCAAAATTACCCTACAATCCCTTTCTGATATTATCATCTCACCATGAAGGTGTCAGTGTACCAGCAGTCTATCATTTGCTAATGACTCTGAAGTCACAGACTTGTCTGACCAGAAGAGTGGTTAGTATGTAAACTATCCTGGTCAACCAAATAAATGGGTAATGGTGATGCCACATTCTGAAGAGGACAGAAGAACTTTCTTTTCTCTGACCACTCTAGTGTGTGCTGACGTTTTGGAAGCAAGAAATAATCTAGCGTATAAAAATGAGACCCAAATATTCATACTATCCCTTACCAACAGAGAAGCTGCTTGGATCTGGAGAACATGCACAGAGCTTCATAGGAAGCTTGGAGTGCAAAAAGAGGCACAGAGAAAATGAGCCATCTAATATGGAAACTAGCCTAAGTGGAAAGAAGGGAGCCTGTGCAGAAAGGAACAAAACAGATAAAGCAAGACCAAACGAATGGATACTTCACACCTTTCAGTGAAGACAAAATCTATTAGTAACTGTACTGGAGAAGGCTGCAAACCCCTGTATGAAACAGATGAAAACTAAAGAAAGCATCAACATCGTGTGTTTTAAGTGTCAAAGAATTGTTTTTATGCCACTAAAGACTGTATATGGTTGCTGGGAGGACTGACAGTGTTTTGTGGGAGAGGTCTTGTTTCTGATAAACAGGGAGGGAGAATGTTCTCAGGAGGGGTGCCAGGGAAGGTGCCAGCCTATGCAAGTGCTCAGTGGGATGGAGAACCCAGGCCATAAGTGGTGCAGGCTCCTGCTGCAGCACAGTGACCCACAGCTGGAGACCATGGACTGGAATCACATCATTCCCCAAGGGACTTGCTTTGGAAAACCCTTTATGCCTGGGGTAACTTATAACCACTGCCAAAAAGCCCCTTCATACTCCCAGCACTGAATAGGCTGGTTCTGATCCATTTGAATAGGCCCATTATATCAAGAATAGTTGCTGATCAACCTTCAACAGGAAGGCAAGTCTAAAGACCCTGCCAGATTGGGGCTGTCATAATTTCAACAACCCGACACTATCATTATGATTCTTTAGTATGAATAGTTTTTAATATAGGTATTAAACTTCCATTTCCTAATTTCTTCCTTAACTCTGGAAGTAGAAGTGAAACAAGACAACGTTCTCTAACAAAAGCATTCCACCTTGACTTAAGAAGTCTAGTAATGGCCCCTTTGGTAACTTCTTTCAGAGAGCAGCAGTCACCCTTGTTTAAACAAAACCACAGAATTTACTCCTAGTATGTTGCTGTAGCTCTTAGATTCCACTGGCTCTTATATCTTTTATCCTGCTCTGAAGAGCTGTTTCTTATCAAATTTCTCTTGTAGGCACTTAGAGACTGTGATCATATCACCCATTAACCTTCTTTTTGATAATCTAAATAAATTGAGCTCTTAAGTCTTCCTGTAGAAACTGTATTTTTCTAATCCCTTAATTAGTCTGTGGCTCTTCTCCGTGCCCTCTGCAATTTGTCATCTTTTTTTTCCCAAACTGTGTTCCAGTCCAGACCTGGAAACCTCACTGCTGCAGTTACAGAAGGAAAAAAATACAAAGGTGATGCCACTTTTCCACCAGCACTTCGTGTTCTTGTTTGCACATCAAGACGAGTCCCCTTGGCCACAGGATCAGCCGGGAACCCAAACTGTGACAGCCAGCTGACCATGATGCTGGGATTTTTCTTTCAGACACCATTCCAAAGTCAGGCCTTCATTCCAGTTCTCCTCCTGTAGCTCTTAGATATACTTCCCTAAGTTTCACTGCACTGAGCACAGCATTTTAGGAAAGTTCAGTACAATTTATTTCCTACTTTACTATTACCTGAGATGATCGACAGGTATGATTGAGATAAGGGATACAGCTCAGATGATCACCACTGTAAAGACAGGGCTACCCATCCAGCTGACTTGCCTTTTTCTCACAACAAATGGCTGGCAATGACATTTCTACCCTCCACCAGCAGGTCAAGTCAATCAAACACACCTATATCCACCACAGTATATGCAAATACATTCTCTTCCACGATCAAACCTTGAGGCAGGACAAAGTATTTTCCTGTCTGTATGGAGTACACTAATAAAGAGTAAAAAGAAATAAATAAATTACTGATGGCCAGTATTACAATTCCCTTCTATCTGTAAAGGAAGCAAGGAGTTTCAATAGAAAACACTTCAATGGTTTGCAAAGGTAGGCTACAATAAGCAATGAAGCTGTGGCAAAGAGGCTGCTGCATTTTGACATCTCTGTCATTGTGTTGCATCCCACTCCCTCTGCTCATTTTAGGAAGCTTTTTCTAGCAAAATTATTTCAATTAGTTTGACTAGATGGAGCTATAGTGATGTATATTCTACCACAGGTTGTTTCTGCAATGCTTTGTGGAGGACCAATACTGCTTTGCGGTACAGCTGACAGGCTCATATCTCATTAGCCACAAGCTGTTTCCTGTCAAGGAAACCTTTTCTTTTTCTTTTTTTTTTTTTCTCCCCCCCCAGCCCCCCGAAATCACAGCTTAACTACTTCTGTGGATTTTCACATTGATTTTTATCTCAGTATGTGACAAGTCTATGCAGAATAATTATCATTATTTGGTCCGGTTTGGAAACATTCATCATGTGAGTTCATCTCATGTTTATTTGTTTATGTTTGGGTTAGTTTTTTGCTTATTTTTGTGGGTT